GCCACCCGGGGAGGTGACACAGCTGTCCCTGGGGGTCACCCGGGGGGAGCAGGCTCGGGGACAAAAATGGCCTCAAAGAGCCTTAAAATCAGTGGCAGTGAGGAACAGCCCCCCTGGGGACAGGGCTGGGGGCACAGAGGGGGTTTGGGGGCTCAGGGTGTCCCCTTGGTCCCCCCAGTCCCTGCAGGAGCAGGATGGGGACCTGGGGGGGACACTGGGCAGGGCAAAAGCTCTTCCCAACCTCCAGGCTCAGGTTGGCCATGGGGGTCTGGGAACATCCCTGCCCAGGGGTCTCTCTGCTCTTTCCTGCACCCCGATCCCTCCCCACATCCCATCCCATGGGCTTCCTGCTCTTCCAGAGGGGATCCAACCCCCCTGAGCTGCCTCACAGCAGCGAAAAGCCTGGAAACCACAGTGATGGCACACGGGAAAATCCTGCTGGGAGTGAGGGAACCCCAATACAGGGGCTCTGGGGTGCCCCAGACCCCCCTGGACAGGACCCCGTGGAAGGCTCAGGGTGAGCACTGCAGGAAATCAGGAGGATGGGGGCCCGATCCCGTTGGGTTATCCCCAAAATCCCAGCACTGGAGCGGCTGCAGGGCAGATCAGCAGGGCTGGGGCCCTTCTTCCCGGGAAGAGGTTTGGCCGGGAGGTTGTAACTCTGGGAGGGAAGGGAACGCCAGGAAGGACTGAACTTGTGCTGGGAATCCAGAGCTGGGAAAAGCAGGGATCCGTCGTGGGCGGAGCAGTGTGAGCGGGGCCGGGGGTGCCGGCGGGAGTTGGCAGCGTGTGTTCATCCCGAAGTAGCACTTAGTGAGTGAGTTTTGCTCAGTTTTAAGTAACACAGACGATTCCCGGAGGTGATTTTTCCCTACTTTCCTGGGTGCGGGTCGTGCGGTGAGGTGGGGGCTTTTCCAGTGGTGGGAAATCCTGCTGCTCTTCCTCGGGGGGGGGGGCGGACACGGGATGGGAGCACCAGGAGAAGGGGAGGAAGCGGTTCTTCAGCCCAAGGAGAGGAAGATTACAATCCAGGAAGGAGAAACCTTGGCTTCTCCTTTGGGAAGAGCAATCCCCCGCCTTCATCTCGGCCCCATTCTCCTGGTGAAGCAACAGGCAGTTTTCCCTGGGGATGAAGCCAACGCCATTCCAGCAGAGCTTGAAACAGAAGGTGAAGATAATAACCACAGAACACCCTTTTCTTCCTCAAATCAAGCGGATCCGGGCTCTGGTGGGAAAATCCAACTCTCGGCCCATGGTGGGAAGGGGCCGGAGCCCAGGAGGGAGAGGGGGAGGGAGGTGCAGCGGGAATTTCCCCAGGTGGGGACCACAGTCTCTCTAAGCTCGGTGACCGCCTCCGGGAGCGGGTGACAAGGGGGACGAGGTGCCTCGTGCCAGGAGGACCCGGAAAACAGCCGGATTCCGGGGGTTTGGGGCTGGGCCTCGGCCAGACGCACGAGGCAGGAGCCGTCCCCCCACCCTGGGGGATCCCAGGGATGGCCACCACCGCCAGCGAGGCCTCCGGGGAGACTCAAGATTCGATCTTTTCCTTCTTTTTGCCTTTTTTCAGGAAAGACGGGGTCCGGAATTTCTTCTTCTTCTTGGAGGGTGATTTGGAGGGTGAACCGTCGGGGGAGACGGGGGTGCTGGTCACCGTCTCCTTCTCCTTGGGGACATCCTGGTCGGCGTTGGGGGCTGTCCGCTCCGTCCCCCCTTTTCCCAGGTTTTCCTCGGTGCTTTGCTCCTCGTCCTTCCCGTTCACCACTGCCGGCGGCTCCTTCTTGGTGGTGGAATCGGCCGGGGCTTGGCCGCCATCCACCTTCTTGTCACCTTGGGAGGGGAGAGGGGACAGGGAATTGGGGTGGCAGTGCCCGTGCTGTTGGGGTTTGATCCCCCTGTCACCAGTGGGGCCTGGGCAGGAGCAGGATTTGGCCTCCAGGGGTGGAGAACATTGGGATTTGATCCCGTCCTGCCGCAGGTGCCGCTCCCCTGAACCTCCCCCCTCCCTGCGGGACAAGCGATGTGGGATGGAGAGCTGGGAAGAGGCAGTGGGAAAAGCAGGAAGCAAACAAGGAGGGATTTCCCAGTGGATTTCCTAAGGGATTTCCTTCCTTGGGGATCCCTGAGTGGGCCACGGAGAGCAAAGTTCCCCCCGAGCCCGTGTCCCTCCTCCAGGATGGCCTCTCCGTACTTACTACGGCACCAGGGATTCAGGGATAACTCCTTGGGTGACAGGCACACGGGGAGGAAAGAGAAAGGAGACATTGTGGAGACAGACAGACAGACAGACACCACAAGACACCATGGCAGAGCCAGCAGCCCCGAGCCCCGACACCCGCGGCCGACCGGAATGACGGGAATGTTGCACCCGCCGGAGTGTGGGGATGGGGGACAGGGGTGTCCCTGCACCCCACAAAGCCACCAGCGGACACTCGTGTCCTCCTGCCACGAATTCCCACCGGGGCTCGGCCCCTCCGGAGCAGGGACCCCCCAGGACAGGCAGAGGGACACGGGGGCACATCGAGCTGTGTCTCAGCGTGGTTTGGCCTCAGCCCCCTCATCCCCCCACTCCATCTGCTCAGGGGGGCCCCGCCCCTGGGTTTGGAGTGCTCGTCACCCCACTCACCCTCCGTGGGCTCCGCAGGCACCGGGGGCTCCGGGGCGGAGCCGGGGGGTGCTTTGGGCGGGGGGGCCTCGCTCTCCTCGGCCGCTGCGTCCTTCTCACCTGCCATGGAGAGACACGTTGGCCACGGGGGAGATGGGGGGATTTTGGGGTGCCCTGGGTGCCACCCAGGGGGAGATGGGAGGATTTTGAGGTGCCTCTCCTACCCTGCAGCCGCTTCTTCCTCTCCACTTCCTGCCTGTACTCCTCCAGCTCCTGGTCCGTGAGTTGGCTGAAGGGGTTGGGGGGCTCCGGCTCGGGGGGAGCCTCTTCCCGGGAGCCCTCCTTGGCCTCCGCATCCCCCAGGTGGCTCTCGGTGGACTGGAACAGACCCCCCCAGTGAGGTCAGTCCCCCTGGAACAGTGTCACCCCCTCCAGAGTGGTGTCACCCCCTCCACAGCAGTGTCACCCCTCTGGAGTGGTGTCACCCCCTTCACCAGTGGAATGCTGGAGAGGGAAGGGCTGGTGGTCTGAGGAGGGGGATGTGTGGGGACACGGGGCTGGGGACTTTGGGTGACATTGGGTGACACGGGGTGATATGGGGCTGGAGGTGCAGGGCTGGGGACACAGTGTGGCATGAGGTGACACAGTGCCATGTATGGGACTGTGGCTGGTCTTGGCGACAGCACTGGTCAGCAGCTGTGACTGGGGATTTGGAGTGACAAGGGGTTGGGGAAACAGGGTGACACAGGGCTGGGGACACAGGGTCACATGTGCTGGGGACACAAGGTGACATGGGGCTGGGGACACAGGGTGACACAGGGGGACACAAAGTGACACAAGGTGACACAGGGGGACACAGGGGGACACAAGGTGACATGGGGCTGGAGACACAGGGGGACACAAAGTGACACAAGGTGACACAAGGTGACACAGGGGGACACAGGGGGACACGGTGCCTACGGGGCTGCGGCTGCTCTCGGCGATGACACTGGCCAGCAGCTGTGACTGGGGCCCGGCCGACTTCACATCTTGGCGGTTTTGCTCCCGAATCTGAGGGTAAGGACAGGGGTGAATCCCCCCGAGGACAGGGGTGAATCCCCCCAAGGACAGGGGTGAATCCCCCCGAGGACAAGGATGGATTCCCCCGAGGACAGGGGTGAATCCCCCCCGTGCCCCCATCCCAGCCCGGGCCCCGCGGGGCCGCACCTTGTTGCGCATCTCCAGCACCTCCTGCGGGTCTGTGTAGAGGGGCACGAACTGGTTTGGGTTCTCGATGCGAATGGGGGTCCCACTGCTGCCCTTCTCCACCTCGTCCGCTCGCAGCCACTGCAGCAGCAGGGAGGGAACCCCAGAAAAGGTGTGTTGGGAAGGGGGAGACCCCAATAACAGAAAAGAGACCTCGATAATAGAGGGGAGACACAAGAAGTGCAGGGAGACCCTAATAAATGCAACTTGTGTAGGGGGGAGACCCCAGTGTAGAGGGGAGACACAGTAAATGCACCTTGTACAGGGGGAGACCCTGACACATGCACCTTACATAGAGGAAAGACCCCAGTAGTAGAGGGGAGACCCCAATAAATGCATTTTACATAGAGGGGAGATCCTGATAAATGTGGGAAGACCCCAACAAATGCACCTTGTGTAGGGGGGAGACCCTGATAATAGAGGGGAGACTCCAATAAATGCAGAGAGACCCAAATAAACTCAACTTACATAGAAGGGAGATGCCAATAAATGTGAGAAGACCACAATAAACTCATTTTACATAGAGGGGAGATCCCAAGAAATGCATTTTGCATAAAGGGGAGACTCCAGTAATAGAGGGCAGACCCCCACAAAGCCAATGGCTCTCAGTCCCCGGGAATGGGGTGGTGGGATTTCAAGCTAACCATTATTACCAGCTGAGGGTGGATCCCTGGGCCTTGCAACTTTTAGCGGGATCACTAACATCCCAGCTACCCCTACCGGGGATCCCCCAAACCCCACCCATCACCATTCTCGGGACAAACACCTTCCCAAATGTCCCCCACGGCCCCGTGCAGCCGCGTCTGTCCCTCACCGTGGTCTTTGTCCTCTGGCCGCCGGCGCTGCCCTGCGGCTCCTCGGCCAGGCTGACCCTGGTGTAGGTGTTGGGGGTGTTGAGCCACCTCGTCTTCTCCTTCTGCTGCTTCTGGGCGTGCTGGCGCAGCGCGGGGGTCCCGGCGGGCTCCTCCTCGAACACGAAGGCCGTCACGGTGGCCGGGATGAGCACGTCGCTCTTGGGCTTGCTCTTCTCCTGCACGAAGGGGTAGCGGTACGTGTAGCCTGTGCGGTACCCCTGGGGAGAGAGAGAGGGGAGGCATCAAGGCAGGGGTGACAAAGAGGCGTCTGAGAGCGGTTCGGGGGGCCGGGGGGGGTTGGTGGGTTTGGGTGCTCACCAGGTTGTCCAACATCCTCATGAGGGCCTCGAACTCGTGCTCGCCCAGGCGGCTCTTGTGCAGGGGCCCGAAGGTGGTGCCGGCGCGGCGCAGGGCGCCAGGGCCGTGGGGCACCCGCTGCTTCGCCCCCTCCAGCACGATCAGGTTCTCAGCACCCCCTGCACTCGCCAGCGCCGACACCTGCCCAGGGAGAGGGGCAGGGTGAGGGCAGGGGGCACAGGGGGCAGCCCCAGCCCTGCCCACGGCCCCTGTGCTGGGCACTGCGGGGGCTGAGACCGCACACAGCTCAGTGCATGGACCCAGAACACTGCACCGACTGCAGAGACCTGGCACAGCTCAGTGCATGGACCCAGAA